AGGTGGCACGTGCTCCGGTCATGGCAGACATGCTGCAGGAGACACTGCAGTTGGCCATTGTCGAACTCGCTCAGACTCACAAGGTGGCGTGGAAGTTTCGGCTCTGGTTCAAGGCACCGCCATGCCATGAACCAGGTCAGGCTCTTCGCGGTCTGGAAAGCATCGTCGGAGTCGGGGACGACCTGAACCGGCACGTGCTGGAACGTGGTCATGACTCGAAGTACCTCGTCTACGTTCCGCAGAATCAGTCCCTGTGCCAAAAATGGCTGCAGCATCGCAGGAAAAAATAGCATCGTCCAACATGCAGAATGAGCCCTAACAGTCGCAGCAGTGTGCCATTAGGTGGTGCACAAGCATGAACTGCACATGAGGGTAATCTACGCGAGCCGCCGTGCTGGCGCAGGACCAAGGGCGAGGCCGTTTCATGCCGCGGGCGCAGAGCGTTGGCTATCATTGGCTACTTTATCACGGGATGCTGCCGGGAAGCCCCGCTCAGCACCCGCGTCGCCCTTTGGGCAACGATGTCACGGAACACGGAACGTTCCAGACTGCAGACGCCACGGTCGGCAACCGGAAGCTGCGTCGCGTCTCCCGACATGGCATAGAGCAAGCAAGGCCTCCGAATCCTCCATGAGCGCGTGCAGCTGGCCCAGCCGATGGGGGCCCCAGTTGAACTTGCCGTTGAGCGTGCGGTGGAAGGACCGCCGGAAGAAGTCGCTTTCTTCCAGCAAGAGTTCGCTGGACAGCTCGTAGTTCTTCAGGTGGCACGTGCTCCGGTCATGGCAGACATGCTGCAGGAGACACTGCAGTTGGCCATTGTCGAACTCGCTCAGACTCACAAGGTGGCGTGGAAGTTTCGGCTCTGGTTCAAGGCACCGCCATGCCATGAACCAGGTCAGGCTCTTCGCGGTCTGGAAAGCATCGTCGGAGTCGGGGACGACCTGAACCGGCACGTGCTGGAACGTGGTCATGACTCGAAGTACCTCGTCTACGTTCCGCAGAATCAGTCCCTGTGCCAAAAATGGCTGCAGCATCGCAGGAAAAAATAGCATCGTCCAACATGCAGAATGAGCCCTAACAGTCGCAGCAGTGTGCCATTAGGTGGTGCACAAGCATGAACTGCACATGAGGGTAATCTACGCGAGCCGCCGTGCTGGCGCAGGACCAAGGGCGAGGCCGTTTCATGCCGCGGGCGCAGAGCGTTGGCTATCATTGGCTACTTTATCACGGGATGCTGCCGGGAAGCCCCGCTCAGCACCCGCGTCGCCCTTTGGGCAACGATGTCACGGAACACGGAACGTTCCAGACTGCAGACGCCACGGTCGGCAACCGGAAGCTGCGTCGCGTCTCCCGACATGGCATAGAGCAAGCAAGGCCTCCGAGTCCTCCATGAGCGCGTGCAGCTGGCCCAGCCGATGGGGGCCCCAGTTGAACTTGCCGTTGAGCGTGCGGTGGAAGGACCGCCGGAAGAAGTCGCTTTCTTCCAGCAAGAGTTCGCTGGACAGCTCGTAGTTCTTCAGGTGGCACGTGCTCCGGTCATGGCAGACATGCTGCAGGAGACACTGCAGTTGGCCATTGTCGAACTTGCTCAGACTCACAAGGTGGCGTGGAAGTTTCGGCTCTGGTTCAAGGCACCGCCATGCCATGAACCAGGTCAGGCTCTTCGCGGTCTGGAAAGCATCGTCGGAGTCGGGGACGACCTGAACCGGCACGTGCTGGAACGTGGTCATGACTCGAAGTACCTCGTCTACGTTCCGCAGAATCAGTCCCTGTGCCAAAAATGGCTGCAGCATCGCAGGAAAAAATAGCATCGTCCAACATGCAGAATGAACCCTAAACCTGCTAAACCCGGAAACCCTAAACCTTAAAACGTCTTAAACCCTAAACCCTATGGTTCAGGGCTTGGGCACCCGCACACAATAGGCAAGGCTGCCTGCTCTGTGATCTATGTGAGAACATGTGAAACAGGTTCAGAGTGCTCGCGCTGCCTTCTGCTGCACGGTGCCCAGCGTTTGCTCTTCGATGTCGTGCACCAGCTGGAGGAAGCCCTGGGCTCAACACGAAGATAATCTGGCGCAACACACCAAATTTGGGTAGTTTTTTGGTCCTTTACGAGAGGGGCGCTTAGCCTAAGCGCCCCTCTCGTAAAGGAGCAAAAAAGTAGCCCAACAACGCGCCTCCAGGACCTCAAAAACATAGGGGTTGGCCACCAGAGCCAGGTGGGGTTTGGCTCCAATTTGCACACACCCTAGCTGGACCCCCCGCCCCAGACCCCTGTTCTTCAACCTGACGGTTGGCAAGAGACTCGGCTAGCTCCGGCAGGCCGTACAGCCTTTTGTTCACCGTTTCAGCACACGCACCTTCTGCGCTGGAATTTACTTGTTGGCATTTGTTCGGGCCCTTGCATGCTTTGACGCCACGCGTCGCTGCCAAAGTATTAAAGTTCCATCAGCGGGTGCGCAACAGCATACACTGCACATGAGGGCAAACCGCGCAAACCTTCGTGCTGGCGCTTGCAGACAAGGGGCTGTCGTCCTCGCGTGGCCCCGCATCCACACGCCACGCTGCACGCCTGGAAAGTTCTTCCAGCACAACTTCAAGTTTCGGCCCCCCGCCGATCTCCTTTTCCCAAAACAGGCAACTCCGAAACCCCGTTGGTTTAAGGTTCAGGGTTCCGATCCGTCCCCAGTAACAACCAGACAGCTCGGCCAAAAATTCCCCTTGTGCACTTTGCATCGGAACAGACAAAGTGCATTACCTCCATGCTGGCAGCAGGCCGTAGAGCCTTTTGTTTACCGTTTCAGGACACGCACCTTCTGCGCTTGAATTTACTTGTTGGCATATGTTCGGGCCCTTGCATGCTTTGACGCCACACAGTCCATCGCATAATAATTATACAAAGAATGCTGAGCAAAGTAGCGCAGGCCAGGCTTCGGAAGCTGGAGGACGGTAGAGCTGTCTTCGGACGGACTGTGCTACAGACACTTTAGTAGATGTCCGGGCCCTTACAAGAGTCCCTAGCAAAGAATGATCAGCACACTAATTCGCGCGGGCAGGTTTCCAGAAGGGGGGTTGTACAGCTGTATTCGGAAATACTGTAGATGCTATGCGATCACAGTCTGCATCAGGTGGCTGCCCGCGCGCTTCACCAGCTAAAACGGCATGAAAGATCCGGCATCAGCAGTCAAAACGAGTGCAACGCGAATTGTAGACCGATGTGTGCACTTCGGCACCCAAAACAGCCTCGAAGATCTGGCATCGGCAGCCAGACAAAGGAGCTGGGAAGGCAGCCCGTAGCCTTTTGTTTGCCGTTTTAGCACGCGCACCTTCTGCGCTTGAATTGACTTATATTGGCATTTGTTCGGGCCCTTGCATGCTTTGACGCCACACAGTCCCTCGTAAAATACTTACAAATAATGCTGAGCAAAGTAGCGCAGGCCAGGTTTCGGAGGCTAGAGGACGGTAGAGCTGTATTCGGACGGACTGTGCTACAGACACTTTAGTGGATGTCCGGGCCCTTACAAGAGTCCCTCGCAAAGAGTGATCAGCGCACTACTTCGCACGGGCAGGTTTCCAGAAGGGGGGTTGTACAGCTGTATTTGGAAGGACTGTAGATGCCATGCGATCAAAGCGATCAAAGCATGCATCAGGTGGCTGCCCGTGCGCTTCACCTGCCGAAACGGCATGAAAGATCCGGCATCAGCAGTCGAAACGAGTGCAACGCGAATTGTAGACCGACGGGCGGGGGCCGCCCACGAACATCGATCGGGGGGTGGTGCCGGGAAACCCCGCTCACCACCCCCGGCTGCGCCACATGGCTGCCTGTGCGCTTCGGCACCCAAAACAGCCTCGAAGATCTGGCATCGGCAGCCAGACAAAGGAGCTGGGAATGCAGCGCTACTTATGTGCAGGGTCCGAGGGTTCAGGCAGGTCCCTCCACTGCCTGTGCGCTTCGGCACATGATACTCCACGGCACCGGATCAGCCCCCCCCCAAGGCAGTCGTCGCCCTCAGTCAGTCTCTGCGAGCCTTCTTCTCTTCGCCCTCCTGTCAGCCTCTCGCTCCAAGAAGGAGTACTTCCGGATCTCTCTGATCCTGCGCAGCGCCAGCACAACAAGGCTTCCTTTCGGGGACAATGCAGCAGCATTTTTTTTGCAGCCGGGATGCCTGTCTTGCTCGGACCAGTGACGGGATCTGGCCGCACGCTGCCTCTTCCTCCCCCACGTTTGCCGCGACCACGGCCTGCCGGGAACAAGGGGGGACTTGCTGGCGGAGCGGCAAAAAGAAAATCAAGAAAAATAACAACACAGCCGCACCTGCGCACACGGGGCTGCCGTACGGGCCTTGCAAAGGAGCTCTGTTCCGCGGCGGGGTGCTGGTTTCCAGAGCTGACACACGCCTTCTCTTCTTGGGCCCTGAACCTTGCTTTCCCACGGTCGCTGCATCTTCAGCTTGCCCTCCCTTGTCAGTGCCGTGTAGAGATGTTCGCACTGGCCGTGCAGGCCAAACGGCCGGCACCAATGACACACGCCGACTGCATGATGGCAGGCAGCCTTGGCACTGCTCCGCCAGAACGTCTCGTACGGGCCTCCAACCGACACCACAGACCACCGTCTCAAGAGGTGCAGGAGCGACGTCACCCACTTCAGATCGCCGGGCCTGCTGTCGGGTAGCAGCCTCCGCGCCGCCGACAGGGCCTGCTCTCGAGTCTGTGCCTCGCATAGTTCCACCAGCCATGCCGCGTAGGCCTGCATGGAGGAACGGAGGAACCCCCGGCTTCATTGCAAACACTCATGCTTGAAGAGAAAAACACCCCCCTGTGTGCGCGGCGGTCCTCGTCCACCCCTGACGGCATGGCGCTGTGCACTTTCGTTGGCTTGCCTTCGACGTAGCGGTAGAGGCTCCGCAGCATCACGTAGTGACGACTGCCACCTGCCTGCGTGGCAAGCTGTCTAGGGTTCCCTCTAGGCACACGATTTTTTTTGGTAGGGGCTGTCGGATTCATCGCCCACGGGCCTCGTGCTCCAGCACACATCCACTCTGCATGTACTCTTCTGCCGTGGTGCGTCCATCGCCTCTGAGAAGATCCCCTGCCAGCAGCGACGTGTCCCAAGCGGACGGGACGTCGAGCCATCTCTCGCTGCTATTTCGGAAAGTGGCTGCCCTGGTCAGAAGGAGTCCGTGAAGGCTTTCGAAGAAATCTGGAACCGTCATCCTCAGGGACACACACGACTTCAGCCGCGTTTTGTGCCAATTTTCTTGGCTTTGCGACCCACTCGCGTAGCCGGGCGCGCATCTGCTGTAGCACCCGCACCAGCACGCCGAGAGCACGCCCTCCTCGTCGCGCTCCACATAGTGCCGTTCCAGGGCTGTCGCCACGTCTCCCTCGCCCGAGGTCTGCAAGTAGTCCAGCAAGCTTTGCCAAACGAGATCGAACATCCCCGGCGTGCTGAATCGAGTGAGGTGCACCACGTCCTGCACCAGCTTCACGGTGTCCTTTGGCGCTTCATCGGAGCAGGGCCATGCAGGGGAGTCGGGGTCTCTGAGATCTATACTTACGCTCTGACTTCGTCTACGATCGTCTACGCACTGGCCCAGCATGCGCACGCCAGCCAGCCTCCCGCACCTGGTGCTTTTCCACCACCGAGAAGATGCCCTTCCTCCAGGAGTTGATTTTTTCTGCGTCTGGCCGAGCGTTGTCCACGGGCTTCTTCCGGTTCGCTGCCACAAGGTGCGAAAAATCCGCGTTCCTGGCGCACTCCTCGCCGAAGACGGAGACTCGAGCTTGCTCCAAGCCCACATGCAGGTCGCCGGCCAGTTGGCAGGGCTGGAGCTCCGCCTGCGGGACCAAAGTATGTTGTGGACATTGTGACAACTCGACCTAAGTATGCGGCCTATACCGAATTTACGTTGCGACGTGCAGAGGCGCTGCATCCTGACCTGAGCGAGCTTCCGCCAGCAGCGCTGGGCGGCGTTGAACACTGCAGTGTACGTCACGCGCGACTCGGACGCCACCAGCGCGAACAAAACCTCCTTGAAGCTGGTCGTAGATGGGCACCTCCTCGACTTGATCTGCACACCGAAGCAAATCAATCGGAACCCATCTCGGACCAGGCTGTGGGTGCCGTCTGTCGACAGCTTGATTTGCTTCTTGTTCACAAGCTTCTCCAGAACTGCTGTGACGAGTCGAGGAACCGTGAAGATGAAGTAGAAGTCCGCATCGTACGACTCGGACAGAATCGTCAGCCGACTGTCGTCCACTAGCTCCTCAAGCTTCTGCCATAGCGGAGACGCACAGAGAGCCTCGAAGTCCGCGGGCATCCAAGCATGCTTGCTGGCCTGGCGGTACTTGCCCGGATTAGACTTCCGTAGATTGGCCACGTACGTGCGCACCTGCGTCTCCTCGGGCAACTCGTCGACGCCCAACTTCGCACACAGATGATTCATGAGGGCCTGCGTGGCGGGCTGTGGGTCGAGGGGCCCGAAGCAAGGAACTGAGACGAATTGTCTGCAATTGAAGGTTCATGCCTATGCAGTACAGAAACTACTCTCAGCCAAGCCCTGCCCACGACAAGCTCTCTGCCTGCACTCTGTACCGTGGGTTCTTGACGAGATACTGCCGGACGATGGCCTTGCTGCGGTTCTTCAGGCCTCCGTTTCCATGCGCGGCATCCTTGAGGCCGTGGGCAGCGCCGTTGGTACGCACCCTGAACTCCCCCTTGTTGTACGTCGCTATACCTCTGAAACGACAGGTTCCCTTTTTGCAAGTCGTGCAACGAAATCGGTACGTGTACCGGCCCGGCGCTGGTGAGGACTCGTTCGCCGAAGCGGCTATTGTGATCTCTTGCCCGCGTGCCCACTGATACAACTCCGCCAGCATGTCCTCCCGCACCCAGTCTTGCGCATCGACGCGGTAGACCTCGCGCAGCACTTCTGCAGCGTCCTTCTTGGGTCGCCCGCCTGCTGCGCGGCCACGCCCTCTGCCCCGGCGTCCTCCGCGGCCGCCTGCTTTGCCCCCACGCCCTCGTCTTGCCGGCGGCCCTCTGCCCCGGCGTCCCCCGCGGGCGTCGCCGCGGCCCGCCATGGTGCTGCTCCGTCTAAGTTCCGCAGAACAAGTCCCTGTGCCGAAAATGCCTGAAGCAGCGCAGGAAAAGTATGGAGGGAATGGGTGGACGCACGACATCAACACGCACGTCCCTGGAACAGTCGCAGCAGTGTGCCATTAGGTGGTGCACAAGCATGAACTGCACATGAGGGTAATCTACGCGAGCCGCCGTGCTGGCGCAGGACCAAGGGCGAGGCCGTTTCATGCCGCCGGCGCAGAGCGTTGGCTATCATTGGCTATACTTTATCACGGGATGCTGCCGGGAAGCCCCGCTCAGCACCCGCGTCGCCCTTTGGGCAACGATGTCACGGAACACGGAACGTTCCAGACTGCAGACGCCACGGTCGGCAACCGGAAGCTGCGTCGCGTCTCCCGACATGGCATAGAGCAAGCAAGGCCTCCGAATCCTCCATGAGCGCATGCAGCTGGCCCAGCCGATGGGGGCCCCAGTTGAACTTGCCGTTGAGCGTGCGGTGGAAGGACCGCCGGAAGAAGTCGCTTTCTTCCAGCAAGAGTTCGCTGGACAGCTCGTAGTTCTTCAGGTGGCACGTGCTCCGGTCATGGCAGACATGCTGCAGGAGACACTGCAGTTGGCCATTGTCGAACTCGCTCAGACTCACAAGGTGGCGTGGAAGTTTCGGCTCTGGTTCAAGGCACCGCCATGCCATGAACCAGGTCAGGCTCTTCGCGGTCTGGAAAGCATCGTCGGAGTCGGGGACGACCTGAACCGGCACGTGCTGGAACGTGGTCATGACTCGAAGTACCTCGTCTACGTTCCGCAGAATCAGTCCCTGTGCCAAAAATGGCTGCAGCATCGCAGGAAAAAATAGCATCGTCCAACATGCAGAATGAGCCCTAACAGTCGCAGCAGTGTGCCATTAGGTGGTGCACAAGCATGAACTGCACATGAGGGTAATCTACGCGAGCCGCCGTGCTGGCGCAGGACCAAGGGCGAGGCCGTTTCATGCCGCGGGCGCAGAGCGTTGGCTATCATTGGCTACTTTATCACGGGATGCTGCCGGGAAGCCCCGCTCAGCACCCGCGTCGCCCTTTGGGCAACGATGTCACGGAACACGGAACGTTCCAGACTGCAGACGCCACGGTCGGCAACCGGAAGCTGCGTCGCGTCTCCCGACATGGCATAGAGCAAGCAAGGCCTCCGAGTCCTCCATGAGCGCGTGCAGCTGGCCCAGCCGATGGGGGCCCCAGTTGAACTTGCCGTTGAGCGTGCGGTGGAAGGACCGCCGGAAGAAGTCGCTTTCTTCCAGCAAGAGTTCGCTGGACAGCTCGTAGTTCTTCAGGTGGCACGTGCTCCGGTCATGGCAGACATGCTGCAGGAGACACTGCAGTTGGCCATTGTCGAACTCGCTCAGACTCACAAGGTGGCGTGGAAGTTTCGGCTCTGGTTCAAGGCACCGCCATGCCATGAACCAGGTCAGGCTCTTCGCGGTCTGGAAAGCATCGTCGGAGTCGGGGACGACCTGAACCGGCACGTGCTGGAACGTGGTCATGACTCGAAGTACCTCGTCTACGTTCCGCAGAATCAGTCCCTGTGCCAAAAATGGCTGCAGCATCGCAGGAAAAAATAGCATCGTCCAACATGCAGAATGAACCCTAAACCTGCTAAACCCGGAAACCCTAAACCTTAAAACGTCTAAAACCCTAAACCCTATGGTTCAGGGCTTGGGCACCCGCACACAATAGGCAAGGCTGCCTGCTCTGTGATCTATGTGAGAACATGTGAAACAGGTTCAGAGTGCTCGCGCTGCCTTCTGCTGCACGGTGCCCAGCGTTTGCTCTTCGATGTCGTGCACCAGCTGGAGGAAGCCCTGGGCTCAACACGAAGATAATCTGGCGAAAACAAAAGGTAGGCAACACTCAGACCGGACAAGGAGTTCGTCAAAGCCCCTGTGGCCTTCTGCTAACTTCGTAGAACCTTCCCTGAGTTCGCAGGGGCATCTACTCTCCATGGCTTAGTCTTCCAGCTAACCCTTGGGCCCTTCGTGAACCTTTCCTCGGGTTCGCAGAAGTTCGTGGCACCCAGTGCTGCCCCGCTAAGTTAGTGGAATGGGTGCCTATTGCCCGTCAGACAGTTACCTGCCTCCGTGTTGCCCTGAAATACTTGTGGGGGACGGGCAGGGAACGATAGCTAGTGAGGACCCCGAGAACACATGCGGTACAGCAACCGAAGAAGAAGACACACCGACACACAGCTACAGAGACACACAGACACAGAGACACACAGAAACACACACGCACACATGCACGCACACACTCACACACTCGCACACTCACACACTCACACACAGACAGACACACAGAAACACACCAAATTTGGGTAGTTTTTTGCTCCTTTACGAGAGGGGCGCTTAGCCTAAGCGCCCCTCTCGTAAAGGAGCAAAAGAGTAGTCCAACCAGGCGCCTCCAGGACCTCAAAAACGTAGGGGTGGGCCACCAGAGCCAGGTGGGGTTTGGCCCCAATTCGCACACACGCCAGCTGGACGCCCGCCCCGGACCCCTGTTGTTCAACCTAGCGGTTGGTAAGAGACTCGGCTAGCTTTCTACGGGCCAGCTTTCCCGAGAGACACACGGACACAGAGACACACAGGGACACACGGAGACACACACACACACACACACACACGCACACACACACACACACCACACACACACAAACACGCACACACACACACACACACACACACACACACACACACACAGACACACACACACACACACAGACACACACACACACACACACACACACACACACACACCCCTCCCCGGACCCCTTTTGGGCAACCTCAGAGGCTTGTCAGCAGCTGCTTGGCGTTCTCCATGATGGAACAAGTGCAGTCAGTGTCTCACACGTTCTTGCGCCGCTTGCTCGCCGATTGTGGGGTCACATCGGCCGCCGGCCACCGCTTATGACCAGCTGGCCAAGGGGTGTTGCGGTGCTTAGCCGCCCCCGGGGCGGCGAGCGCTCGCAGCAGCTGCGCGGATTCGCAGAGCATGTCGCCGAAGGTCTCAGGGATGTTCTCATACTGAAACACGCCTTGGCTGCGCTTCCGGCGCAGGCAGATGGGGATCAGTTCCGGGCGCTTGGCGAAGCGGCGCTCGGCCATGCGGGCGGAGAGCTCGCGCTCGGAGAGCAGCGCTCTGGTAATCCAGTCGACGTTGGCAGGGCACCAGCGCACTTCCGGGGGACCACCGGCCTCGGTCCGAAGTAGCGACAGCAAGCGCAGCGCGCCATCGCCCAGGCAGACACTCGACTGCACATCCTGCACTTTCTTCCGCTTCAAGACAGTTGAACGGCCGCCAGCGGAGAAAAGGATCAGACCGTGCTGGCAGTAGAAGCGGCCTATGTGCAGCTGAGACTGCCACCGCTCAGCAAGGGCAGCCTTGGATACCCCCGCGACATGGCCAGGGGTTTGTACATAACCCAGACTCCCATCATCGCCGCCCGAAGCGACACACTGCTCCACACAGTTGCCGTGCTGGAAGCTAGAATCCCACAAGGGCGTCCGACTGCTGCGCAAGTCCCGCACCAAGTCGCAGAGACGCCGAGGAGCGCCCGGAGCCAGTGCGGCGTCCAGCGCCGCCTCGGACATGGCGGCAAGGTAGGGAGCCCACGTGTCGTTCTTGACGGCGGCCAGCTGCAACCGCTTGGCGAGTTTGCTGCCAGGCTTGGCGAAGTCTGGTAGAGCCATCACGTATCGATGCCGTTGCAGGCAGGACTCCCATGTATTCAGGTTGGCATTGAGCGGGCAGGACGTAACTATGCCGATCGTGGCCCACGAGAGGGGGCCGCGCCGCAACGTGAGCGTTTGGCGGCATGAGCAGTAATCGATGAGGAACTCACGCAGCTGCATCGCGCTGCATCTGCCGCCGACTTTAGGCAGCGTGAAGTCGCTCACCCGGATGGCCATGGGGCCCTAAGAGAAAGAGACCGACTCTGCAAGTGATGTCAACTCTGGGGTAAAAAACCCCCCAGTTAGTCGGACCGAGGCCCCAGAACCCCTAAATCCTGTAGGGGGATACATGGCACCTTATTCCCCATTCCCTACTAACCAATGGTAAGGTTGTGGCTGAAGTTCGGGATTCAGGGGAAGCTCGGGTGTCAGGGTTCAGGGTTTAGAGTTTAGGTTGTAGGGTTTGGGGTTAGGGTGTAGGGTTTAGGGCTTAGGGCTTAGGGTTTAGGATCTGGCATCTACTCTCCATGGCCTAGTCTTCCAGCTGACCCTTGGGCCCTTGCTGAACTTTTTCTCGGGTTCGCAGAAGTTCGTGGCACCCAGTGCTGCCCCCGCTAAGTTCGTGGAATGGGTGCCTGTTGCTCGTCAGA